GGGTCCTCCGGAGGACCCGTCCTGCCGTTTTGGACACAGCCACTATCAGAGAGATGAAGAGTCAGAGTTCAAATAATGTTTTAATAAACAAAGACCAGAGAGTTTTCTTTGAGTTCCCCTTTGATGTCACTTCCTGTTTCACTTTGGTTGAGATACATTCAAAAGAAAATTCGCCAGTTAAGGGACAAAATCTGTAAATTTGTGTGTATTGTTCCATCTTTCTTAAATATAAAGATGTTTTCTTTGACTTTCTGTATTTGAAGAATATGCCTGTCACAGACACTTCAATGCCACCAGTCAGTCCATTTGGTGCTCCTCTCCACTTCAAATAAGACAAACATAAAAAAAAGTTCTGTAATTTATTTACCAACACAATTTAAAATTTGTTATATAGCCTTAAGTCTGTAATTTTGACACAACTTGGAACAGATTATTACAAAGAGCAAATCTTTCCCACTAAATTGGTCATGTGACTAGGACAGGCATCCAGGGACTCCAGGGCATTAATCGTCAAATTAATCGTTATCGGCTAAATACTACAATTAATCGTGATTCATTTTTTTTGCCAATATTGCCCAACTCTAGTTTATATTTGAGCGCAGTTTCATTGGTTTGAAATCCTATTACACACACACACACACACACACACACACACACAGCTTCACCACGTGGGCATCATGTCCGGGAACCAGACGCGCCCCAGATGCTTGGACACCTCCCAGTGGATGTCGTCCAGCTCGTAGCGGTGATCTGGGACCAGCACCTCCTCCATGATGGACAGCTGCGTCAGCCGGCCGCCGCACATCTTCACGAACTCCACGAAGGCGCTGCAGGACACCTCGCACTCGCCCAGGCCGATGGCGGACAGCTGCGTGCAGCGCTGGGCGATGCGGATGAGCTCCTCGTCCAGCGGCCGCAGCCCGTTGGCGCACACCACCAGCTCCACCAGGCGCGGGCAGTGCAGCCCCACGCGGCCCAGCACGTCCTTGCTGACGGAGCGGCCGAAGTACAGGTGCGTGACGGGGATCTCGTCGCGGAAGAACGGGTCGAACTCCTCCTCGTAGAGGAAGAAGTACATGACCAGGCTGAACTTGGGGGAGTGGCGGACCATGGCGTCCCAGCTGCTCTTCTTGATGGTGTGGAACTGCTGGCCGGGGTTCTCGCTCACCACGTCGATGCGCAGGTGCTCCAGGTGGACGTGCCTCTCCGAGGAGAGCGCGATGAGGAGCTCGTCGCTCAGCAGGTGGTAGTTGAGGGCCAGTTCCCTCAGGCCGTGGCACTGATCGGCGACGCACATGATGCCTGGAGACAAAACCCTGAGACTTCAGGGAATCCTGCATTACTTACTGAACTCTAACTTAGCATTTAGCATTTAGCACAGTGGTTCCCAAACTTTTCAGCTTTTGACCCACAAAATAAAAGCAGCAGTGGCCTGAGCCCCCAGCTGTTGTCGGTTGATAAACATTGTTTTCACATCAAATAAACAAACATTTTATTACATTATTTTTGCACATTTTGAGCACAATAATCTTACTATTTTGTAACAACAAAGCAAAAAATGTTGTTAGTTGTCTTTTTTAGTGTAATCAATTCAGAAAATATTTTCCCCAACTTTGGAAACCACTTATTTAGCATTTAGCCTGGGGTTTTCTTGAAGTTTTTGCTCAAAAAACACAAGCTGAAATGTAACTGAGCGTATCTCAGTGTTTACAAATTCTACTTAAGTAAATGTTGGTATCAAAATAAAAAACACTTTGGAGATTTTTTTAGAAGTGTAAGTATTAAAACAGCTGCTGTGGTTTTAGAGATATTGAGGATGGAAGATAATTATTTTACTTTTTTTCCCCTCCCGTCTGAATAATTTTTTCATTAGACAGTATATAACCTATTTAAAACCATAATGAATCAGGCTAAAACCTCTTGGAAACCATAAATCCACTTGTGGACATCACCTGTGCAAAGATTCATGCTGCTAAAATCAACTGGAGCAAAGTTACAGAGGTTTTAGTAAAGAAATAATTTTGGTTTTTTTATTGTCATTCGGCACAGGACAGACCATGAT